GCCCCCGGCTGGCTGGCTGGCTGGCTGGCGTGACCCCGGGGGCCAGCCGCGAGTTCTGGCAAGAGCCCTCCTTGGAAGACAGACAGACAGACAGACAGAGCGGCAGGGTCTCTCGGAGCCCTCCCAGGGGGTGTCTGTCGGGGGAGGGGGAGGGGTTTGGAAGCCGCCCTGGGACTCCTTTGGGGGCAGTGAGGGGGGGCCAGGTGGGGTATATAAATCCAATCTCTCCTCTTATTCATCTTCTCCTCGAGCCCGCCCCCATGCATATATGCCCGCCACCCCAACCTGAGCACCGCCTATGCAAGCCCTTCACCCAGTGACCAGGCCCCAAAGAGTTTCCACCCTCTTAGTCGGCCGTGCTGAGAGACCTAGCCAAGGGGCATCTACCCATTTATTTATTTAATTCAATTTATACCCCGCCCTCCCCGCAATGCGGGCTCAGGGCGGCTTACAAGCGGCAAACGCCAATATAAAACAACTTTAAAAACATTTATAAATCCCACAATACAAAAGCATTCATAACAATCAAAGACTACAGTGCTCTAGATGTTCAACATAATATCAGATGGCATTTTTATAACTGTTCAGCCTCATCTGCTCCAGGGACTGATGTTCCCTCATCCAGGGCCAGGTAGAGATGGACTAACGGTGATGTTAGTCCATGTTCGGAATCTCTTCATCACGTGCATGGGCTGAGAAGCCCACTGAGAGCTCACAGGAAGCCCCAGCACGGGTGTTTTTCACTGGAGCCAGTTCACACAGAGTGTTCCCTCTCAGCTGAGTCAGTGCGAGCTAGCTCACAGTTCCTTAGCCCCCGGCTCACCCGTTTTTTGTCTCAGCTCAGGAAGGACGGGGCTCCAGAGCAGACTAATTGATGCAGTGGTAGCCAAATCACTCACTCACCGCTTTAATGCCCGCCACTCACAAAGTAGGATTTCTGCTCACAAGACCCACCAGCTTGGAGGGAGCACTGGCCCATCACCGTGTTAAATAAGTTATTAAAGCTATACTTGAACATTACTTCAACGTTTTTGTTTTTAAGTACGCACCAGATTGTACTTTCTGCTTAAAATAAAAAGTTCAGGATTTAAAAGCACATGTTCACCTACTGTCCATAGCCAGGAGGTGTGTGGCTTTCTACACCCTTGCAATGCAGTCTGGTATTCTCATAGGGTGCAGATCAAGTGAGTGCTCAGTGGAGACGTCAAAACAGTAGAAGAGCAAATCAGAACAGAGCCAAGCCATACGCTGGGGCTCAAGAAGTCACATGTGCCATGGCGCCTAGAAATTACATTGTGTGTCTACTGTTTTCATCAGTCACTTCTTGTCAATGCCTCTTGGTGATTCCACAGTTTCCTACTAGGTTTCCCAGTTAGAAATGCTAACCCTACAGAGGATAGGAATAAACAACAGGGACTGTCCAAACAGTAACAGGGGAGGACCATGCAGTCTCTTTGAACTTTTCATAAAATCTGGACTGGCAAAAGAAGAAATTAAAGGTACCGTGTTTCCCCAAAAATAAGACACTGTCTTATATTTATTTTTTCTCAAGAAAACACACTGGGGCTTATACCACAAATGCATAGAAATCCTGCTAGGGCTTATTTTGGGGGTAGGTCTTATTTTCGGGAAAACAGGGTATGTTGTTGGTGGCAGAAAGTGATCAGAAATTGAATGAGCTCTACTAAACAAAATCCTGAAACCTCATCAGATCATTCTCAACTAATGGATTCTCCATGCCACACAACATATGGGGAAGGCAACATTTCTTAATGAGAAAACAAGTGTTTCATACTGCAGAACCAAGGTGTGTGAAATGATGGGGCCCATCTTGCAGGTCGTGTTGAATACAACTTTGTGTGGAAGCAAATCTTGCTTTTGTGACTTAACATGCAAACCTGAGGGTACTTTCCTGAGAGTAAGCCTCATTCTCAGTAGATCTAAGTAAGATTCTGAGTGTACCTGCTGATTATTGGCTCTCTGTGATGATTAATTTTGAGTAGGGGTTTAAAACTGGAATGTGGATTTAAGTAGGCTGGGGTAGAACCCTGTACGTTCAGTCTGATAAAGTCCTTCGTGTACAACAAAAGTACAAAATGTCTCTTGCCTTAATGTGAAGTAGGGAGGGATTTTAGAAGTATTATTCCAATAAATAATGAACAGAGATGTAAATTTCTGGAAATGTTGAAGCTACAGCAGGGGAACAGAAATTTGGGGATTGAAATATATACAATATATGCAATACTTTTCCTATCTTTTCCTATCAAACCTAAACCCATTATGTTACTTTAACAACTTAAAAACATCAGTTAGGATCATGCTAGGATATAAATTTGTATTCACTGGCATATGTATAGAATTTTAAAATATAAATGCCTTAATTTTCTACAAGCAAAATTGAAAATGTGTCAGACTCTTGGACAAAGTTACTCTCAACAACACTCTGGCAGTGATTTGTCCATTCAGAAATAAAGATGTTCAAAGCTAAGACTTGCAGCGTCAGAACTAAAGTTCTGATGCCAAAACCCACAGATATACAAAGTTCAAACAAGCCCCCCCCCCTTTGGTCCAGTCCAATCATACTCCCCAGTCATCCTGCCTAACTTTCTCACGCTCCAGCCCCCTCCCATAAATCTACTGTGATGTTATCTAAGACAGCAAAGCAGGCACAGGCAACGTCCAAGGTCATCCCTGAGAAGAGAGGTATCTTAGAAGAGTTACACTGCCACTACAACAAAGCTATTCTCACACTCTTGCACTCATCCTCCCCCCCCCCCATGGAATTCCAATCCCTTGCAGGGCCCAGATCTTTAGGAACCATGGCAAGCGAGATCTCAAGTTTGACAAAACGACCAAATATGAAAGCAGTAGAGAGCTGCTAATCTAACATGATCGTAGTACATTCTATTCTGAAAGAAAACAGAATTTCATAGGAGTTTTCTTTAGTGCTCCCCAAAATTACCCAATTTTTCCATTAAAAAAATTAATGTACATTTTGAGTGAGTAAAATCTTTCCTTAAGAAGCATTTGACTTATTCTAAAGGTGGAAAAGATTTCATGAAAGTTTTTTAGTGCATCTCAAAATTTCTCAATGTTTCCATGGAAAAATTGGGGGAAAAAATTGGGAAAAATCCCTCCCCCCCACACACACACATTTTTGTTGTTGTTGTTTTGCCCAGGGTTTCACATCTCTGAATATAAGACTTCATTTTTTCCCCTAATCAAATATTTCAGTTCAAATATTCATTGCTTTTGGGAAACAAAGTTATCATGTGATAATTGAAAAAAAGTTTATTAAATAGAAGTCGAAATAAATGTGTTACACTTGCTAATTTTCTGATTCACTCTTTTCCTGAAAACCCATATCTCTGGCTGCTTCAGAAGCAGAAGGTGGCATTCATCTTCTAGCCTCTCCCATCCCTAAGGCTCGGAATAAACAATAGTGTAAAGCGTAGAATCCCATGAATATACTCACTTTTTTGAGTCCTCTTCCAGATTCATTTCCCCCTCCCTCCCCTCTAGCAGTAAAGGCTTTCCCTCCCAGCTTCCACTCTTGACTGGGTGTTCAGGCCTAGCTCCCTGCTCCTTAATGGCTCTTATGTGACTGCTTATTTTTGGCAAGAGATCAAAGGGCAAGAAACCAGGTTGTAGCCCATATCTGGCTCCCTGGCCTGGTTACCTGCTTTACTCCCTTATAACAATTTTTTCCCCTTCTTTCCTCAGGGTTTCTAAGATCTTTCCGTTCTTTGGTCCCTTTGCCGTTTAATGGCACTTGCAATATCCACACTATTTCTGGGATGTCTACACTTTCTATCAAGCCGGGGCCCTTGTTGGCAGCCTCTACTAAAAAATTCCTTCTACCTGTGGGCAGTGTTTCTTGTGGACATTCAGTCTCAGTCTTGAACAGGTAGGCAAATGATTTTTAACACAATTGCATGCTTATCCATGAGGCTTTTGGCTTAACCTAGTGTGATGTAGTGGTCAAAGTGTCAGACGAGGGGCCGGGGGGGCAGGTTTGAATGCCTCCTCTACCATGGAAGCTTGCTGGATAACCTTCAGCTATTCACACACTCACAGCCCATTCCTGCCTTATGGGGTTGTTGTGAGAATAAAATGGAGGACAGGAGAACAATATAAGCCACTCTCGGTCTCCACTGGGGAGAAAGGCAGGGTATAAATGAAATGAATAAATAACCCCCCCTTCATTCCAGCCCCCCCAGGCCCATGGCCTCCTTTCGCAGGGGTCAGTCTTTGGTATAGGATAAAGATGATAGAAATCATGAACCAAAATATTATTATAGCAGCCGCTCCAGCTGTTCTCTAGCTTCCTGGTCCACTGTCATTTTCTGTAATTATTGTTGTAAAGGGAATGCTAGTATAAACCATTATTGATGTTTTTAGTAAAAGTATAAATGGATCACATCACACCAAGCCCTCTCATGAACTAGTAAAAGCATAAGGTTATAGCCGTACTTTGTTCTGTCGGCCGAATAATACAGAGAAAATGGAGAAATGCAAGTTAGCACTGAGAACATAACTATGGTAAGAACATTTGAGACCCATGCCAAGCTCCCATTGAAATGCTACACCTTTGCTTCTGTTTGTGGAAACAACAGATTCCTTAAACAGGAGAGAAGCATTCTAGCAGTTGTTTTCACGCTCTGGTAAAAGGTAATCTTCTTTCCTAAATTTTGTGACTTGGTCTCACATGATATGGGTCTTCAGTATATCACAAATATAAATCAAGTTAAAATGACCCTTCTGTTTCTCAAAGAAAAGGAAAGAGCATCTAATTTTAAATGAAATATACTATTATTTATCTTGACTACATTGCTTTTCAAAGTAGTAAAATTCCTTCCTTTGCTAATCGCTAAGGAGCAAAACACCCTGTGGAAGGCATTTGCCAATACTAGTCCACTGTGTAAGGATCCCCACAGGACATGTTAGAACCCAATCTCCTCTCCCCACCTTAGTGTGTGCACACAAACCACGGCAGAGAATAGGAGGCTTGTGCACACCTCCTGTCCAGCCCTCTTCTTGATCAAGGAC